AACACGAGAAACAGGACGAGACGTTTATTTTTTTTTTGTTGTTGTTGTTGTTTGTTTTTTGTTTTGAACTGTTTGTCTTTATTTCTGTTAATGTTAATTTTGTTCATTGTTTATCACTGGTTTCGACTCGGCGGTCGCTCTCTCAACCAAAACAGACGCATCTCTTTATAACGGTGTTTAAAGTGCACACAGGAGAGATGTAAAGCTGTATGAGCAGACAGTCCGGCTCATGTGACGCCATGTTCGCACACTGAACCTGGGAGTGAAGACGGATTGGAATACAGATAGACATTGTGCCTTGAATTTGAAAAACAAATATATATATATAAACACATAAAATAAAAAAAAACTTGAGTTTTTTTTTTCCATTAAGTTTCTTTTTGAGGGGAAGAAAATGAGAGTTCTTCTTCCAGGTTTTTTTTTTTTTCTTTCTGTTTTTGGTTTGAAGGAGAGAACAGATCTGTGAGGGAGTGATGAGGAAAAACAAAAACAAAAAAAAGAGGATGCAGAAACAGATGGAGTGGGTGGCCGATGTGAGGAAAATTCAATCTGGTGCCAAACGCGAAATTCAAGGCGCTTGTTCTCATTCCGCGTCGAACGGACGGCGTTAGGGGAGGTAAGTGTGGGGGAATGGAAGAGGAGCGGGGTCGGCGCGTGTGTCTGTCTGTGTGTGAACAGTTGAGACATTTGGCAACAACAAAAATTTTAAACTGAGAGCGGATGACGTGGGGAAAACCTAACGTAGCCCCGAGGGGCGTTGTCACGGCATGTGTCTCTTCCTCCTCTCGCCTGTTTCAGGTCCTTGGAATTGTTCCAGGGCCGGCACCCCGGTGCAGCCCCGCAAACAGGATGGGCTGAGACCAGACCGACCGCACACTTGAACTGTTAAGATTTCGACTTAGAGAGAACTACACCGTGCCTCTTTCTGTGTCAGAGGGGCGGCGGCGCTAGCTTTCAGCCACACTTAGTGTCTTGATTAAAACCACTGCAGTGCACAGCTCCAGACGCACACGAAGGGGGGGAGGGAGCGCGACCACCTTTTCTGGGACGGGTGCTGCTAGTGACGTGGGAAGGGGTGGGGAGAGCCTGGAGACTGCAGACTGTGGGAACGGGACAGCTTAAAATGACATGAGAGCCACACGACACACAGGCCCACATTTACAGGTACACACACACCAGGTCGGCGTGGTCGCCCGCGTAGTGCAAAAGTAGAGGACCGAAAAACTCTGAGCGAGCGAGGTTGTCCGTCTTTTGTACCTGGCGGTTTGGGGTAATTTTTTATTTTTATTTTTTCTTTGTTTTCGGCATACGGAGTAAGAGACGGACTCGAAAACCTCAGCGGCTCTCTGCTCATGTTGTTACTGTTGTCTTGGTTGTCGCTCTCAAGTTCTTTTTGTTGCTCTTTCCACATCGTAGAAAATATGAAATAAAAAACTGAAGTGAAATCAACCTCTTCTGTGGAGATGAACTTTGATTTCTCTTGTCTTGTGAGTTTGCAGTCTATTTTTCTAACTTGCATGGCCATTCGAGTAGTAGGTGGTGCCTGTCCTGTGCATGAGGAAAAAAGGGGTGTTGTTAATCTGACTTACAAAGCCATTGTTTCATTCACTAGAATTGCTGCTAATGTACACACTGAATGTCCAACTAACGTAGAAACTCTACCATGAAGAGAGGAAAAAGAACTATTTGTGACTGATTTTTCTTTTCTTTTTTTTTTTCTCTCTCCCCCTCCAATACTTATATATCTGCCCAGACCCCCAACCCCCCACACACACTCTGTTGGCGGGTACGAGTCAGGAAGGGACCGGTTCCTTTTGCTTACAAGTTTTCAGAGTTTCAAAAGTGTTAAAATTGTGAAATTACAAAGGGCGACATTGTGCATGACAAGCAAGCATCCACATGACCAAAGGTTTTGAGAGACAGACGAATGGGAGTGTGGTTGACTCAAGATGACCCAGATGCTGCTGTTTTACATTTCTGCTCACCTGTATGTTGTGTTTTTAGAGGATGATCGAACACTTGAGTATTTGTACCTTGGTTCAGTTGCATGTGTGCGAGTGGAGGATGAAGCCTTGCGTGGTATGTTTGTGTTTACCTTTATACCTCATTGTGTGAGTACTGTATTCCCTAATGTATCTGTATCCCTCGCGTCCTGTTGAAAGACTGCTGCGTGTGTGTGCGTGCGCGCACGTGCGTCTGCGTGGATGCTGGTTGTACAGTCGACTCCTCACTCTGTCAGATTTTGTCTCTGGTTTTCTCACTCATGTTCTGATGGCAATAAAGGACTTTTCATTGTTTGGTATACATTTTTTTTTTTCTTTTTAACATATACAGAACAAACCACATTAGATTAGGATGTTATGTTGATGCGAGTGTACTTCAGTCTAATAATTAGGGGACGATCACAATGGTGTCTTCTGAGTTCTAAAAAGAAAAATTATGGGTGATATAACTGTTCCTACTGCAGTGTTAAATTTGTCCCAGGCTATTTTAAGCAAGCCTATTTTGAATTTAAAGAAGCATCGTCTGTTATTTCCA